GTGTGTCTTTGTTCTCACAGCTGGGAGACCTGTACTTTAAATTTTCAACAAAGAAAGCCACCACATTAAAGAACACTAGAAATTCCTACAACCCAAACTGTAACAATAACCATGGAATCTTCAATTGCCTTTCATAAAGATATTATGTGCTTTAATCTCTTGTGCATCTCTACTCAACACATTTGGCAAGGTACATTAACAATAGAAATGAAAACAGTCATTTGAATACAAAGCTGAAGAAAGAAGAAACACATAAAATACCTTATAGCCAACATTTCTCAAGAATTCATTTTCAGTTTTTGAAAAGAATAGAAAATAAAGGCATGCATTCTGTTTATGATCTAAGTTTTGGTTTTAATTACTCAATTCCAGTTTGGCCTGAAGGAAGAAAATAAAGCAAAACAATTTTGGTCTAAATAAAAACAGTTATTTTTAAAACCAAATTGCTGATTTTTAATCTATTCCATTTCTCCAAATGTATAAATGTGTTTTTTTTTTTACCTCTGGTACTTTATCAGTTCAATAGCCATAATTTATACAAAACACACAGATGGTCTTAGAAATAGTAAAAGTTTCAGATGTTACAACTTCCTGACATATGGAACAGTATTGTGGATCATCATTTTGTCAGCATTGGAATGATTTTAAAATTATTTATACATTACCATTTTGGAATCATTTCCTAGCCATGGGTTATTACAACTTTAAACTATTGGATTCCTGATAGAAGTGGTTCTTTTATTGCTTATAGGATTGGAGGATTAGCACTTAATTAGAGTACAGAGAAAGTTAAGGAAGATTCCATCATAAATTAAATATTTGGCATAAATCATAAAAATTTGTCTAATTCAATATATGATAGAGCAGGGAGTCCCAAGCATATTTGTGGAAAATCAAGTTTACTATAGTACACAAATAAACTTCAACTTTTAACTTAGAATTTTCAAAATGTACAGTCACTTCTGTGTTTCAGCTACTGTATGTGACCCAGTATATGACGAATCATGTATAATCTGTATAGCTTTTATCTTTCTCATGTGTCTTAAACCAATTCAGTGAGATTTTTAACCTCCACTATATCTCTGAAATAGCTACTGTCAGAAATAGCTATAATTGACCACAAGTTGTTAAAGCAAATGATCAATTTTCAATCTTCATATACTTGATTACTTGCTGCAACTGACTCAGTCACAATGACCCCCATAAACTTGGTGCTTTGCTGCCCTTGGTGCTTTGTTGTCCCTTTTCATTGCTCCCTTTAGATTTCGGCTGCTCTTTCTTCTGCCTGAAAGCTTGTCATCAGACAGATTTCTTTCTCCTTCTACCTGCAATTCTTTCCTAGGAGAATTTAACATTCTCAAGCTGATAAATTATATATTCATTGGTTATCTTATGCTCCAATAAGAACTTGTCAGTGACTTAGGACAGGGAACATCTCGTGCTCAATCGTTGTGCAGGTTGCACATAACTCAAAAGCTCATGTTCTTTGGGTATCCTGCATGCTACCTCTGCTTTTCCCAGAATAGGTGACATATGTGGGTGCTGAGTAATGAAGGGAGAGCATACCTTAGGCTCTCTCATGTACTAGCATTTCATTTTTTAAATTTTCACTCACAATCCACAAAGTGAAAATAATCAAATAGGTTTGTGGAAAAGCAAAGACACTGGGGATAGACTCTTCTGTCCACTCAGGAATTAGTTCTTGTGCCGTCTATCACAACTTAACTTTTTTTTCCAGCCTCAAGCTCAAGTCTGAATTTCTGACTCATAGATCCAATTGCTTCTTTGATATCTCATAAGTATTTGAAAATTACCATGTCTGAAATTGAGTGCCCAATTTGTCTAACCACAACTCTTCCTCTTCAACAATAAGTGCCAGCCCAGGTGGCGTATCTTTCCATACTCTTTAGCCATTCAATGATAGTCATCTTCAATGCATCATTTTTTTTTTCTGAATAGGAACACTAAATTTGTTAGCAAATTCTGTTGGTTATTACTTTATAGTATACTCAGAATCCATTTCTCACTTACTCTCTACTCATATCAATTAAAATGACCATTAAATATCTCTTGTCTAGATTATTGTCAAAACTCATAATTGGTCTCCCTGCTCTAATATGACCACCTGTCCATGTGTTATTAAGACAGAAGAACTCATTGAATATTAAATGGCTATGGGTCTATAGGTTTATCCCTCTTTGGACAAATGGATAAAAAAATGGTATAGATATACAATGGAAGTTTACTCATCTATTAGAAAAAATGATAATATTTGTAAGGAAATGGAAAGTCTTGGAAAAATAACATTAAATAAAATCAGGCCCAGAGAAGACAAAGGATCCATATTTTTGTGTATATGTAAAGGCTAAATTTAGCTCATCAACTCATAAGTAAATAAGCTGGGTGATATACACATATACACAAATGAATTAACTAAAATGCTAGTACACCCAACACACTCACAGTAAATCTCAAATAGTGTAAGCCCTTTGAAAGCCAAAACCAAATTTCAGCAAAATAAAACACCAGGAAATAGGTATTTGGAAATGGTGGGTAGGGTCAAGGCAAAAGGAATGGACAATGAAGAGAAGAGGATGAAATGCAGACAAGAATCCAATAAACATCATACAAAATTGAGTGAGGGGGTGGGATGGTTAGAGAGGGTGGGTGAGAATGTTGAAAGGGGTGACATTGATCAAGATGTGTTGTATTCATAGAGAACTTTGTTAAATGGAAACTCCGTTGTGCAATTACCTGAAAATGATAAGAAAAAAGGAAAGAATTCACTGTCTATACTACAAAATAAAGAAAAGTAAGGGAAGTGGTGGATCAGAAGGGAGGGTAAGAATGTCAAAAGTGGTGAAACTGACCAAGATGTATTGTATTCATAAACTGCTTCGTTGAATGCAGAGGGGGAAAAAAGATGGAAACAAAGAAAAAAGACAGAAGAACTTCTTTGCTGAGAAATCTATGATTTTCTTCCTACTTTTCTCAAGAGAAAGAGACAAACTACTGTAATATCTGTAAGGTCCTGTACAGCCTGGTACCTGTTAACCCCTGACACTACTTCCTATAAATCTCCTATACTCATGCTATTCAATCTGATTCTTTGCTCCTTTGTAAGAATGTTAGTTGCATAACACCTTAGAGTATTGGAATATACTGTTTGTCTGTAAAAATATACTTTTCAAAGATACTTCTGTAGTTCCCTTTCTTGATTTTTTTTCCTGGTTCTGTGGAGGCATCCTTTGATTATCCTATTTAAAATTTGAATCCATTCAAATATCTGATGCATTTCATTTACTGTTTCTATAAGATGCATAGCTTAATATATGTGTATATATACATATATTACTCTTCTGTAGATAGTTTTACATGAAATGTACATTCATGAAATAAAAATGACAAAAGGGCATTTACTGCATTGTCTTTAATGCTTCACACCAATTGTTAAAAATGTTTTCATTAAGTCATTTTTAACGTAATAAATTATCAAGAAAGATGAGGGATATCAAGAGTAATAATGGTTTCAGTGTATTTGAATTATTAGGCAGGAAAAAGGGAATTACAGAAAATAATCACTAAATGGTTTGGAATCTATTTTTAAGGGTAAAATTTACTTACTAGTGCATGAAGGAAATCTGTTATCAATAAGGAGAGGAGTAATTGTTCTTTTTCCCCCTCAATGCTAGTTGTATCCCTTTATGTGTAGGGAAATCATAAATACTTGTTTCCTGCTTGTAAAGGGATGAACTTGAGAGATTACAAACCACCCAAAAGCCTGAAAAACAACTGCCTTAAAGTCATTCATAGAGCTAGATTCAGCCAGAATTAGGGACTGTAAGACAAAGCACACCCACTGGTTGACCTGTTAAGTAAATTAAGCTCAGATTCTCATGGAGGGAAAAGCTTGTGAACAGATTTAAACACAAAGAATTTAAGATTTAAAGCAAAGAATTACTTGATATATGATCAGTTCATCTATTAAACAGATCCTAACAGCTTCATACCAGTTCTTATATTTTCTATTCTCCAGCACTTCTAATTTCATTTCCTCAAATCAGTTTCCTCAGTATGCCCTTTGTCATGCAACTTTTTGGCATCTCAGGAAGTAGAAGGAGCTCCTCATGCTTGCCCTAATCTCTACCATTATAAAAATTGTTTGAGAGACCTCCCCAAATTCAGATTGATACTGGAAAAAGACTGAGTCTCTCTTAAAATCCGTAAAATTTTGACTACCATTAATCAGCTGTATTTTTTCTCATGACTTATTATCATGCTAACCAGCTAAGTTATTCAGGAATGGTGCTAGCATTTCTGGGAGTTATGTGGTATGCCTTGTAACTTCCTTCTTCACCAACCTTGACAATGACCTTTCCTTCCTGCACAAATTCTGCTAAGGAACTTCAAATCTTGGCTAAGAATTTACCTTGAACAGGTATCAGCAGGTGAGGAATAAAGGAAATTGCAAAGGGAATGGTGTATAGGCCTAGAATCAATGAGATTGTGTTGGACTTAGGTGTTTAGGTGAACACTCTATAAGACAAAAGGCACAAAAAAGCCATATAAAATCAGAGCTGCCTAGACTCTTTCGAGCAGGAATTGTCAGGATTGTCAAGAATTGTCAGTTGTTGAAATTTGAAGAACAAAGAAGAGATGTAGAAAGGAGGAAGATGCATAAAAACAACCCTGGAGTGACTTACAAAGCCTCCTGAAAATGTACTATTTAATTAATTTTTCATAAGGAACAATTTTCACTGAAACCCATGGAACCCAGGCACTAACATTCACATGATACATTTTCTTATCCTCACCACTAAACTAAAAGTTACATATTGTTTTTTCACTTACGTTCATGTCTACATGGGGACAGATGAAGAACTGAAAGGGAGCATTAAGGGAAGCCTTTAATCTAAGAGAACTGGCTCCATCTTTCTTTTTTATCTTTGAATATATACACAAACCTGCAGCTGCTCCCTAATATCAAATTAAATACTCACCGTTATTCTTTCGTCTTTATCATCCAGAGGAGAACCATCCTTCTTCCAGGAGATGGTGGGCTCCGGATGGCCACGCGGAGGCTGGCACTCCATCACCGCGGGCTCCCCTACTGCCACCATGACATCGGAAGGGTTTTGTCTGAAATCATCCCGTAGTACTGGAGGAAGAAAATTAAATTTTTATAGTCAATAGTGATACATACAGTTCTTAGCCCTGAACTTCAGCCAGAGACATTTATTATTATAAACTACTACTAGCTGATGCAACACAAGTTCAAAGACATATTTTCCCTAATAGACATCTGTGATTGAAGCAAGATATTTTTAGCGCTCAGGACACACAAGAGGAATTATTTGATATCCTTCTTAGGCCTGCAGATAAACACAGTATGCTACCTCTGTAGCAACCACTGAGGCTTCTTTATATCTTCAATTTCTCTTTAGCCTATAATTTTCTCATGTGTATACTAATGAACACCAGTGAAGATTCCTTTAACTTAGATGGCACATCAAGATGATACTTTTAATAATAAAATAAACTATATCCACATACAGAAACTCCAGAAGCAAAAATATACTTGTAAGAATGCATGTAATTGAAAGAAATGCTACAGATATTAAAAGCTACTGATAAAGATTATCATAGTGAAATGCATTACTCCATAAAATTAATCTACATCAGTGAAAATTTTAAAGATTGTTATAATTTAAGCTGGCTCATCATAAAATGCTACACATATTTCAAGGTAACTATTTCCTGTATTTTTTTTCATTATGACAAAGTGATGGAGTTAGAAAATAGAAATAATTGTTATTCTTGTGTCAGTTTTATGTTCTAAGTTGTTGGAGTACTTTTCTGATGTATTAGCTCATTTAATCCAATGCACAGAGCAAGAGATATTACTAAATTCATGTGTATTTTAGAAGAGTAAATGCTTCCTTATTATAATCTCAAATGTATAGTAATAAATTATTAAAAATACTATAGAACTAAGGATATTACTCAGCAACTTTAGACCAAAGATAATCCATAAACTGTTCATGGAATAAAATTATTCTCGGTGTATTAATAATATTAAGAATTTATCAATTATGTGGCACATATTACTTTGGAATCACAATTCTGTATTTGTTAAATGTAATCTGGAGCATATGTATTATTGCCAAGTCCCTAGTTAGAAACTATAGAGATGTAAATATTGCAGTAAGAAATTGATTAGTTCTTTACCTCTCCTCACTTTTTCCTTGATTCTGCATGTAAGATATGAATCATCATAGGATCCTACTTAAGGTGACATTTAAAATGTTTATTGATATGGCAAGTGTATGATTTTGGAGAGATAAATATTATTAACTATAAGGAAGTGAATATTTTATACCACTAGACTTGTATACTAGAACCTATATATTTCTAGTCTGATGGCACTTAAAATATTTTCATACATGAAGTATTACAGTGTTATAAAGAAAAAAAATGATCGAATTTAGTCTCAGAACCTAAAATTTATAGATTTACATAGGTTTATATTTTTTTCTTTCAGTGCTTTACTTTTCCTTTCACTGTATGAACTAGGAATGTGTGTGTGTGTGTGTGTGTGTGTGTGTGTGTGTGTGTGTGAACCAAAACACCTATTGAAAACTCTTGTTTTATCTGCATATTGTGATAGGTTGGGCACAATATGACTCTACTAACATAGACAATAATATTGCTCCAAGGAGGAGTTTTCCTTCTGTTTCTTTGGAAAGAATAGTAAAAGGAAATATAACATCAATAGTTGTAATTCTAATTTCAGTACAGTACGCTACCAGTGAGATATGCAGACACAAAGTAAACTTTGTGAACTGAAAACTCTGGCTACTGTTACCACCTAATAAAAGAACAGAGCATGAGGACTTTCACTGTTCATAAGCTCCTATTATTATTAGCTGCTAAGAATGTGCTGCAAACAAGATGTACGGTTTATAGAAAAAGCAAACAAATTGATCTAACAAGCAGCATGGGCCTACGCTAAATGGCAATATTAATCTATCATAACACCACTGAAAAGTTGTAACATTCTTAAAACACCCAAAAGTAAAATATTTTTGAAATAAAGGTAAATAATTTATACAAATTTTCTATGTGGTAGTCTTATAAACTAAATTCGTAATACTATACCTTATTTACAAATTGAGATCGTATCTCAAATAAATCAATGAATAATAAAAACATCTTACAAAAACATCAAAGGTCTAAGTAAGATAAATCAAACTATTTTTCCATTTATTATGGGATTTGGGCTTTTACATTGTATAATGAAAAGCTAACAAAATGTAATCCATTAAAGATTGTTGCTTAGATAATGCTTATGTAATTATTTTTGCAGCTGTAAAGCATAAAATTCTAGTACCAACCATGGCTACAGGCAATCCTGCATAAGTGTATGAATTTAAGATTTTTTCTCACATCTAGAAAAGCAGTAGCTCTTCTTTATACTTATTCTGAACATTTGTTATTGAAGAAAATACTATGTTTCACATTATAAAATCATATAGTCTTTTAAATGCCATATTTCTAATTCTTGTGTACATTTGCGTGATTAAATATCAAATTTGATATTTTTGTATGTTGTAGGAAAATACTTAGCATTCACAGGTATTCAAAAATATATAACTTAGAAAATTTATTTTTCCCTTAGTGTATCTCCACATTGAAATATATAGTTTCAAATGTTTCTTGTATAAAATTTAAATTTGGAAAGTATATTTTCCAAAAGGGAATTTTAATATTAATTTGGAAAAATCAAATAATATTTATGGTGTATTCAGGTAGAAATCACTTAAAACACTTTGCACAGGATAGTCTACTATTACAACTACATAATATTTCTTCCATATTTCTGTTATTTCATTTTAGGGGTACAGGTAGGTGCATAGAAATTGACTTGAGGATTTGGTGTTTTTTACTTTGGTAAGTAGGAAAATATGTAATTGTCACTGAATCCTTTTGAATCTCATTGAATTTTTTGTGTTTGTATTTGTTTGGTTTTGAAGTTCTTTACTATAAAATTCTTTAAAACAAAAGATAAAATTATTGTTTTTTCTAAAACTTTGGACTAAGATTTGTGCAATGCTCAAAACAAGTAATATTTTCCAGAAAGAAAAATTCACTGGTGTGTTTGAAACCTAACTGTAATGTTGAGAAGACAGAAAGAGGGCAGAAATCACAACAAAACAAAAAAAAAAAAAACAGAAAAAAAAATTCTAAAAAGAAACAGTACCAAAGACAATGAGTGTTCATAAAGCATATTGTTAAGGTCACTTTAAGACTTTTTAGGGCTGGGAAGGTGGCTCAGTGGTAGAGTGCTTGCCTTGTATGCATGAGGCCCTGGGTTCGATTCCTCAGTACCACATAAGCAGAAAAAGCCAAAAGTAATGCTGTGGCACACGTGGTAGAGCACTAGCCTAGAGCTAAAGAGCTGAGGGACAGCACCCAGGTGCAGAGTTCAGTCCCCAGGACAAAAAAAAAAAAAAAAAAGACTTTTTAAAAACTGAAGAAAACCTAATCTTTTAAAATAATCAGGAGTCTTTGACAATACCTGATCCTTACCATAATTAGAGGTAATAGTACCAGAAGACTTGTCACTAGCCTGTGTTAAATGCCTGAGAAAAGACCAAAAACAAAAACACAGAGGTCTACTAGTTTCTAAGAAATGCCTGCATTTTTAATAATTTCATTATTGCCCTCTAAAATGTAATTTTCCTTCCAAGTCCACTGGAATTCCAGAAGTTCACACCATTGCTGTAGAAAGGTGACTTCAGCTCATTGCATTTCAGGGAAGTGTAGATTCTTACTAATCCAATCTTTGAAAGGTTTAAGAGCTTCTCAGCTCAATTCTCTTCCCTAATTGAGTGAAGTAAACTTCAAAGCCATGAGCTACATGAATCCCATAATTTCATCGCAGAGTGCATGGTCCAAAATTTATGTTTTAGAATTTAATAAATTAAGACTCCTCAGGGAGAGACATATCAAAAACAACAATATTTGTATTTCCTCTATGGCCAGAGATATTGAACATGTCTTCATGTTTCTCTTTGAGTCATTAGCCCATTCATTATTTGGGTTCTTACTTCTTTGAGGGTTTAAGTTTTGAGAATTTAATTTTTGAGTTCTAAATTTATTCTGTACATTATGCCCTTGTCTGATGTATACATAACAAAAATCTTCTCCCATTCTGTCAGCTTTTTACTTAGCTATGTCCTTTGCCATGTAGAAACTTTTAAATTTGATGCAATCCCATTTATCAAGTCTTTCTTTGATTTGTTGCATTTCGGGATTTTTTACTTACAAAGTTTTGCCCTGGGCCCAGAAACTCTAGTATTTCCCATACCCCTTTACACAAAGCTCTGATACACTGCTTATTCGAATAAAAGCTTAAACAATTACTTTGGAAGCTTATACAATTACTATGGAGGCACCTCGGAAAACTAAACATAAAACTACCATATAACTAAACAATCCCATTCCTGGGCATTTATCCAACAGAACACAAACAAGATTACAGTAGAGCTACCAGCACAACCATGTTCATTGCAGCACTATTCACCATAGCCAGTATATGAAATCAGCCCAGATGTATTTCAATGAATGAATGGATCCAGAAAATGTGGTATATAAGACAATTTAATTCTATTCAGCTATTAGAAAAAATGATATTGTACCTGTACCATTCATTAAAAAATGGAAAGATGTGGAAAAAATTATATTAAGTGAAGTAAGCCAGACCCAGAGAAAGAAAGGATGCATGGTTTTTCTCATGTGGTAGAGAAAATATGCCTATAAATCTATAAGAACATAATTTGGATGGTAAGCAAGAGGTTAGAAATCAATTAACTGAAGTATAAAAGATTCTAAGAAGATCTCAAATAGTATAGTCTTTTAGAAAGATTAGGTCAAAGCCCCAAAAATTCAGCACCAGAAAATGGGTAAGTTCAAGAACAAGGGTGGGGCCAAGGGAAGAGGAGCAGATAAATGAAGGGGAGAAAGAAAAGAGTCTGTTATATATACAAGAAAAGTAAGAAAAGTAAGGGAAGGAGTGGGTCAAAGAGGGGGGAGCCTGTTGAAGGGGTGGCACTGTTTTCATAAACTGATTTATTAAATGGTACCTCCTTTGTACAA